TATATATATATATATACACATAACCTTAACAAAACAACACCCCCAGTCCTATCTCCGATGAACACCACCAACCGACGTGTACCACCAACAATCTCCATCATTTGGTTTCCTCCCATCAATCTCCTTCCCCACATTGTGTTCTTTCTTCTCTCTCTCTTGACATGTTTTCTTGCTCCCTCCTCCGTCATTGCTCCAACCCTAAATCGCACCACTTTGAACTCGATGTTCAACCTGATCTTAATTTTGTTTTTGGTCATGGTTATTGGGTTTGGTTATCGACTTTGTTTTTGGTTATCGTTTCAATTTTGTTGGTTAACTGCCACATCCCTTCCCCCATTCTTGGATAACCAGAACCAGTTCTATCTTTGGTCAACTACGGTAACTCCTCCCCATTGCCATCTCAAAATATGCACAAAGTCAAAACAAAAAACTCGTCCAGACGTTTAATCTGGAAAATCTGTCCATTTTCCTAATGTTTAATCCCAAAATCTATCCATTTTCTTCAACAAATCTCAAATTGGTGGATATTTCTTCAAAGGTAGATGGAAACGAAGGCTGAAGATGGAGGTCGCAGATGGAGACAAAGGATGAAGATGGAGGCAACCCTAGTGACTGATAAATCTCAATTTTTAGAGTTATTTTTTATTTATTGTTCACGCTTTTATGTCTTTTAAAAACCTAATTTCCCTTCTTTTAATTTTCTTGTGAGCTTACCATTGTAGTGACAAACTTTTGTTTTATTTTAATAAAAGTTTCATTTAAGTTTTATTTCTTGTCTTTTATATTTTTTTTCATGTCTGTTATAAGCTAATTATTTATGTGAGTGTGAGTTAACTTAAGATTTATAAGCAACATTTGGGTGTTTTCACTCGTTACCACTTTGTAAACTTGATCACTTAAGTTGGTATTAGACTCAACGTTGATAAACCGATCACTTTAAAGTGTTAATACTAAATCTTTGACCCAGAAATGGACGAATTCGAAATATGGGTTAAATGTTACATAAATATTTGTGAAAGTCTTTGATAATTGCATAAAGATACGAATTTTGTATGTATTTAGCTAAGGTTCAAATATTGGAGATTTTAATTACAAAGAGATTTGAGTATGAATTTTCAGTTTAATATTTCTTTATCTACTTAGCTAAATCATTAAGCTTCAGAGTGGTAGAAGTAGGAATTTTGTGGACATTATCTATAAAACTTCACTTTCGAGAGATTGAAATTTTGTTAAACATCTCATAAGTTTCTGACCGTTATTGTTGATTTTGTCTTGAGGAATACTTACACCAATGCCCATCTTTTATCTATAAGCCTATTCCGTCTTTTAAAGTTTGTAACTAACAAAAATCCAACTTTTTATCACAAACCGAAACATACTTAAGAAGTTCATGAAATTCTCCGATTTTCAGTAGTTCAATCTTTGTAGAAACGATCTCGGTACTTTACCATTCTATTACTTGCAAGCGATCATAATGTCGACATGCACTTGCACCACCATTGTGGGGACTTTGTGCTCTCTGTGTGAGCACGAACGATTCCAAGCTACCAGTGACCATCAACAACGACCTCTACCGTTGCAACACCATTGACCTCCGTCATTCCAAGATCGATGAGTCATGCCCCTTCTCAGCTCCACGAATTCAAATATGCAGATGGATAAAATGTAGCTAGATTCTAGAATTCTGGCGACAATTTAAGAGAGATGGGGGATTGTGGTTTTAACAATCGGCACCGAAGAGGGTGTGCCCAATGTCTTAGTTTTTTATATGAAAAAAGAAGAAAGAAAATAAGAAAAAAAATCAATAAATAACTAAAAAGTTTAAGAAACAGGGAAAAGACAGATTTACCCGACACTAACTGTGTTTTTTACCGGAATTAGCCCCAGGGACTAAAAAAAGAAACAAAGTACAAAACATGAGGATGAAAAAGAAAGCAGTTTTTAAAGACCCGGGATGAAAATAGTTATAAACAACAAACCACATGGACAAAAATCATAGTTTACTCTAAATATTTTGTTTCTAAGAGAGCGTAACCCCTTTTTTCTTGTTCAAAAAATACATACTTTTTAACTTTTTTTTAAATGTTAGCGATATAGATTGTGCTCTACAGATCTTTAAAATATAATTATATTAATGTATAATTTCAAGTTTTCGAACTAATTGAATGTATTTATTAATTAATACGTAAATTCTGATTTTCTAAAAGTACGTTATTATAATAAAGAGGACACGTCCGCAGATGTATAGAACTTTTCAACGAGATAGTGCTTATTCAACTCAATATGTTACACGTAGACAATGATATGACATGACATGACATGACATAAAAATCTGATAACTTATATAATGTCATCTTAATTCAAATTTAAAAGTTACACATTAATATAATGAGTAATTTTTCATAATATAGTAGCATATTAAAAGATAATTTGAAAGTACATTGTTGTAACAATAAAAAGAAAATATATAATGAGTTAGGTTTCCGTAAGAAAGAAAGTTATAATGAGAAGCATAAAAAGAAATCTTCACCTTTGGATTAATCATAATTGAATGTTAACACTATTGAGATGCACTGAAATACACCGAATCAATTTTTCTTTTATAAATCGCAATTCATGGATAGACATGAGATTAAAAGTGATCAATGGTTCAGATCTCTTATTACACTTCTCAGCATAACTTCTTTCTCACATGATTATTTGCCATATATCTATACTATATTATAAAACATTTGACAAAAACTCTTAAAAACCATTTTTTATGCATAAAGTACTGTTTATCAATGCATATTACTTAAAACTCAAGATTGCAAGTAGATTGTGCATAAGTACAACTTACAAAAGCTCTATATCTGAATTCGTGTAACTAACTGCAGATAAACATAATCAAATACAGGATAAACATCTCATTTTAAATATAAAAATCTAAAATAAAATTAGGATAATCATTGAATTTAACAGAATACTTAATTATTATATTTATATAATTTATAATATTATACCAAAAATAAATTATTTCATTATTAAACTTAAATTAAATTATAATAAAAGAATAAATTAAAAAAATTACATAAAAAATAGAACTTTTAAATAGTTGATTTAATACTAATTTCACTTATTTTTTAAAAAAATTTATAATATTTCATCCAAAAATAAAAACATTTTATTTTTTCTCAAAACCACATAAAATCACAGTATAACATCGATAGAGCCAAAATATAAAACGAAACATTAAAATTAAAATATATTTCGCTACATTACGCGAGTACCATTCTAGTAATATTATAATAACTTTTTTATAAAAAATAGTCTTCTCGAATTCTGGTTAAAACAGCTTATCCAAAAAGCCCATTTATGTTAATTGTGGGACTTCCAAATTACATTTTGGGTCTTTAGTTTACTTTATGAAATTTTTTTAAAGGGTCGACAGTTGGCACCATTGATGGCCAAAAACCGGTCCTGGACCGGGCCGGTCGGGATTTCTCGTAACCGGTCCCGATCCCGGCCGAAAAAAGTTGAGCCCAGTCAAACTTTATTGTAACTGGTTATGGGCCGCCAGTCCCGGTCCCGCCGGTGTACAAGAAACGACTTCAAGACACTAGGATTATCACTCCCTAGAGATATCACTATCTCAAGATACCCTGTTCTCGTTGTGCAAATCCACGCATTCGGAATAACCACATGTATCCGACAAACATCAAACGTACAAAATGGTAAATTGCATAGTTACGACATTAATGCATAAAACCATGATCGGTACTTTAAAACATTCATAAACGATCACATCTTGATTAAAGTTTATGTAAGAGAACTCACCTGGTGCTCCGCACCCTACCGCTGATCCTAATTACTAAAACAGTCCAAACTGAGCACCTGAATTAGCCAAGATAGGAAAGGCGTTAACCCATCTTAATTACCCCAAAAGGCATCTATTATAGCCCTCTAATCAACCCCTACAATGATGTGGCTCGAAACAAGAAATGAAATGGACGATGTCGTGCCACAGAAGTGGCTTATGCGATTTGCGTCACGACCTAGGTCGCACGGCAAGTCGCGGAACCCTCTGTTGTGCGCTGGTTCGTCCTCACCTGTCCATGTCTAACCAAACTTCATTTCTCCAAATAAACCATCATTTCCAACAAGATATGATATACTTATCAATATGAAGCTTCCAAAAACACATTATAATCCAAATCTAACCATTAAACATCACTAATCAATCATATTCTAATTCAAATCATGAATTTCTGCCATTCAGAACTCAAGTCACAAAATCAACCAATTTAGATAATCACCACAAGGATTTCCATGGGAAATCATACTAGATTCTACTTTATAATACCAAAACTTCGATGCAATGATGGATTCTCATAGAAACATAACATAAATTCATGAACCATTCACTAGAACCCTAATTTCCCAAATTCAAACAAGACTCCATTAATGGAATCAAATCAAGCATAGAAACAAGATTCTTACCTGGAGATGATAATCTCTCCTTGCTTCTTCTGTAAATCGTCCAAAAGTTCTAATAATACTCTTTGTCTTCAAAGCTCCATTCACACAAAAACACCATAAGGGAATCGACTGGAAGACTGAAATGAGATGATAATCCCCCCTTCTCATTCACCTCACTATTTTATATCTCCAGTCCCTGAAGAATGAAAAAGTTTACTCCCTCAACCTTGAGCTTTATAAAATCCACATAAATAGGATAGGGAATTATTAAAGTACGGTATCAACAAAATTGGAACAGTTAGTACACATGTTGGTCGGTTTGGTTTAGTACAAAATTGTTCATCCCTATTAAAACTACTAAATTTTGTTTAAAACCCACAATTATCGTAAAAACTATGAAAGTAAATCGCAAACCTCAATTATCTTTATTTTGAGTATCGTCATAGGTGATTGTCGTCTCATTAACTTGCTCTCTTCCATTGGTGGCGTTATTGAATACAGGCTTGCCTCTTTGTCGGTTATATTGTCATTGGTGTATAAAAGTTCAACCTCAAGTGATTATGTATCTGGTCGTAGTATTTTAAATAATCATTAAGGCAAACCAATGGGTGAAGGGATCCGGATGTAGGTCAGCACGTACCCCACCACTAAAAAGGTGAATTCTAAGCTACGATGGTTGCTTTAACGGATAATAAATCGTTTGCAACTCATCATGCTTTAGTTGCTTGTTTCTTGGGGGGCTATGCCCCCCTACCCTACGTTTTTGTTATGCATTCGTCACTCTGACGAGAATCGAGAATTATTTCTGATAAGAAGCATGGTAACAACCAATGTCTTTATTCGGTAAATTAGAAGGAACTCAGTTAACGTTTGACGAATAAGATATATTAGAAATAATTCATTTTTATGGTTAAAAAAATTATCCAATAAAATAAATAAAGATAGTGACTCCTATTGATAAACGATTAATTGACTTATTTGATAAAGAGGCTGAAATCAATTTGGTTTCGGGTTGGGCCTTGATATGACACGTGTCTTTGAAGCTTTATCGATGGGCCATTGTTTGTTGTTGGACCACCTGCATGGCTGCGTCAGGGATGAACGGTGAGACAGTGTTGTTAATTCACCTGTTTTTTTAAACAATTATCATCTAGAAAATTTTCTTATTATTATTTCTAAGAAGGATACTTGTATAATGTAACGAAATACATTTTGATTCTAATATTTTGTTTTATTCTTTGTCCATGTTGATATAATACAATTTTACATGGTTTTAATAAAAACAATAATGTTTTTATTTTTAAATAAAATATAAATTTGAAGATATTATAAAACTTTGAAAAAAAACATATATCGATGTTACTATAAAATTAACTATTTAAAAATTCTCGTTTTTTGAATAATTTTTTAGTTCAATTTTTATTATAATTTAATTTATATTTAATAATGAAGTAATTATTTTTTATTTAATAATATAATTCATTATAAAAACAATAATTAAGTATTCTGTTAGAAGTCAATGATTATTTTAATTACATTTTAGAGTTTTTATATTTAAAACGAGATCTTGTATTTGATTATATTTATCTACAGTTAGTTACACGAATTTAAAAATTAAGCTTTAATAAGTTGTATTTATGTATAATTTATTTGTAATTTTAAACTTTAAGTAATATACATTAATTAACAGTACTTTATACATAAAAGATAGTTTTTTAAAGTTTTATGAAATGCATTATAATATAAGTATAGATTATATTATTTTATTAATATTTCAATATTGAAACAAGTTTCAGAAAATTACATCTAGATTCCTAAAGTATAAAAAATTTCTATTTTAACAACTGCTTTTATATCAATTAACCCTTCAACTTTTAGTAAATAGTAACTGCAATTTATTCCATGTTTTAATCTATTTAAGTTTCTAAAAATTACCATCTCACCCTTGTAAACTATGGAAATTATGATTTGGGCCGAATATTTCAAAAAATCGACAATAAGAGTACCTAAAAATTTTAAATCTCAAATTTGGCAATTCTTTTAATTATTTTGACTTTCTGTGTTCAAGATTAAGCCCTAAAAATTACTTTGAAATGGTTTAGATACTTGCGGAACCATGTTTCGAGACGTTTATTTCGATGACGAGAAAGTGTCTGAGATTATGGAATTATATATGTGATGAGAAATATCCGGTACCTAGTTGAATGATATAACTAGCATACGTGGGTGAGAAGCACCACTATACTTGTTGGAATGATAAATCCTATATACGTGGAGATAAACATACCGATAAACATACGGTGATGATATGAATATATACACACACACACTACGGATATGAGATATGGCGTGTTGAAATGCATATATTCATATTAACAAACGTGGCATTGATCATATTTTAGAGAGAAAAAAAGACCACAAACTTACGAGTCATAAGCTGATTATATCAGCATGTTACAGATTGTTCAAAGAGAACGGAACAGGCATAAGAATGCTTTTAAGCCCTTATCTTTTTACGTTATTATATTTCAGGCGATGATTATATTTTTTTAGCATGATGGTTTTCAGATGTATTGACTGACAACACGACCATTTCATATCATGAATTGTAAGCCAAATTGTATATATGCTACAACATTCATTTATTTAACAAGGTATCTATAAACTCGGCTGATCCAACGTTTTGGTTGTTTTACAATCGTCTTTTGAATAGGTTGGTTAACTTCTTCAAATGTTATCAAAATACATCAAATAAAAAAGGGTAACTTACACAAACTGACATTTCCTTAATTATTTATATTTCAGGAAACCAACTTTCAAATACTGCAGACTATTCAAATCAGTTAAACAAATTCGTATAATATTACTTACAAAAAGAAAAGTAACTTTTTGATTGATTTTATTCAAATAGCTCGAATATGTTCTTGTTAATATGTAGCCACTAAGCTCGGATGTTGGAAAATGATTCCGGATTGAAAGCCAATCAAGGAATATGATGATATCAGAAAGAAAAGAAATGACCGAACAATGCGAAAATATATCGATTCGAAAGAGTTGAAGAAAAGGACAGTAAGAAATCAGCATCCCTCATCAGGAATTAATTGCCAAGGGAATATATTGCATGCAAAGAATAACTCAACGTATAATCGTCATTAATTGGAAATTAAAGAAAAAAGATACCCTGAAAATGGTAATTGAAAGAAAAGATCATTACGAGGTGAATTTTGTTTGGCAAAAAAAATTCTGTCTCTTAATGGTTGTAAAATCCTCTAAATGATTTTGCGTCTTGAGCCTCCTCCCTTAACCATTGAGCGGTCTAATTTCATTGTAAACAATTACCAAACAATTATATTTCATTTTGCACTATATCATGAGAGTCTATTAATCATTCTGATCACTTAATCATTTTACACAAAACCATTCAGCAACTACCAAACAACCCCTTAAAAATTTAAAACCCTCTAAATGATTTTGTAACATGGGTCTCCCTTAACCATTCAACGCCTTAATTTCATCATAAACAATTATCAAACAATTATGTTTTATTTTGCACTATATCATGAGAGCCTTTTAATCATTCCACCAACCCATTCAAGAACTGTCAAATAACCCCTAATTACATACATACACAAATAAAACACAAATAAACTGAATAAGTGCTCCAAAACCTCATGTTTTAAGCTAAAAGAAAGATATCAAGAAGTCGTAGGACAAAAAAAAAAAAAACAATTTATAAAATAAATATTAAAAAAATAAATCATTATATTGATTTTTTAAAGCAAATTAAAAACATGCATTTGTAACTTATTTCATATTCAAATATATTATTTAATGTGATTAAAAATAAATTTGACCAAAAATGTGGTTTAAGTTTAACAATCCCTATCACCAACTTTTGTGGGCGTAAATAAATTACGATCCACATTTTTATTTAATGACAACCGACAAAACATTTTATATTTATAAAATTGATACGATATAATTTTTAATATTTTTTAAAATAATTATCGGTTAGACCATCATATAAGTTAATGTGATATCGTTATCAAAGAATTATGTTTTTTTTAATATATTTTTTATTAATTTAAATTAATATTAAATCTTGAAATAAAATGCCATAAAACACATCGTGGAGTTTGACATTATTATATGAAATTCAATTAAAAATGGTTTGATTGGTTCATAAAGGTTAAAAATGGTTGTTTTTTCTTGTAATATTTTATAAAAAAAACAATTAATAATAATTAATTTCATTTTCTGAAACCTTAAAAAAACCAAATAAATTAGTGTGTGGTTAACTTTGTTTAAAAATCTCAACGACATATGTTTAATGTGAACGTCAGGAAACATGTTCTTTTATGTTTTATAATTAATCCATTTAAGATATAAAGCGGTTTTATGTTTTTATGTGAAATTCAATTAAAAATGGTTTGTAGAATGTCTTTTGTGACTTGCAAAATGATCCGAGAGAACAATATTTTGATATGAGAGTACATTTAGGGGCTGTTTATCCAATTGCTTACTAGGTAAGCGTTTACCGATAGGAGTCAACACTGTGATTTAGTTTGATGCGTAAAATTTTAGTATATCAAGATATATCGAATGCAACAATTTAGTGGGTAAGCGCTTACCTGAGTAAGAGTTGTCATCCTCACTTACCAGGTAAGATTCTCCATCATTCTCATCACTCTTACCTGGTAAGATTCTTGACCCTTTTCATATTCATCTGATGTAAAAATTTATCCGGTAAGTATTTACTAAGTAAGTGTTTAGTAAACGGCCCCTTAGTAAATTATGAAATGGACACTTACGAATGTTGACTATTTTGAAGCAAATTGAAAAAAGTGGGATAAAAAGTGAATAAAGGGGGATTCTTTCTCCGAAATAGAGAGGGTACGAGAGAGATTTTTCTCTAGAGGTTTAAAGAACCTTCCAAAATTAAAGGGGTGTTTTGGATTTGCTTGTTTTAAATAACTTATGTTTTTCTACAAAAGTTTTTATCAACTTATTATAAGCTAGAATAGTTTAACTTTTTTAAAAACTCTTTATTACTGGTGAAACTGTTTATCCAAACACTCAAAAGTGCTTATTACCAATATCATACCAGAATAAGTCAATAAATTATTTTTATAAACAATCGCAAACACCCCTAAATGAAAAAAGAGAACTTTTTTGTTCTTCCAAAAAGAACCTCTCAATCTACCGGTAAAATCAAATAGAAAAAGAGAGAGAAATACCTTTTTTATATTATTAAATATTTTCTTCTTCGTTTTTATTTTTTTATAAAAACCCCCTCTCAAAATGGAAAAACAAAATATAAAATCCCAAAAAAAAAAAGTAAAAGTCAGATTTCTAAAACTAGAGAAAAAAAATTCGAATTTTATATATATATAAAAAAAAAGTTTATCCGTTTTAATTATTTCAATAATTGATGGAAAAAATAAAATAAAAATATTCTTCTTTCTACCTACATTTAGGGGGTGTTTGGGATTGCTTATTTAAAACAACTTATGCTTTTTGTAAAAGTGCTTATTAACTTATGTGGTATCAAACTGGAGTTTTGTAAAAAGTGTTTGGATTAGCTTATAACGGTATCAAAAAGCAATACGTTGATAAGTTGGTTTTTAGTGTTTGGCAAATTTGGCTTATAGATGTAAAATTACCAAAAAGGTCCTCCAATCAACCTCCTGTTCATCGTCTCCATCCTCGCACTCCAAACCCTATTTTCTCCAGATTCCTCTCCATCCTCATCACTCCAACCCTATTTTCTCCAACCTCCTGTTCATCGTCTCCATCCTCGCCGTGGAAGAGGTTGTCATCGCGAGACCCTTTGACTGGTTTCTCCCCGAGTTTCACTGCATCGGCGAGTTTCTTGGCACCGATTTCCGTCTCCAAGACGACATCCGTCTCCAAGATGACATTCGATTCGATTTCACAGGCTTCACAGAGGCTTTGGTGAGATGGACAGACCTCGATTTCTCTGGTTTGATGAGATTCTCTGGTTCGATTTCACAAACCCTAATTCATCAGTCGGTCGCTTGAGAGGGTAAGGGTTAAAATGGTAAATTGTTAATAAGTTGATTTTGATAAGTCAGGGGGGATTGACTTATCAAAAACCTGACTTATCAAAAACGACTTATTACCGGTTTGGTACCGGTATAAGCACTTTTTTTTTTTTTACCCAAACACTCCAAAATGACTTATCTCCGGTACCGAACTGAAATAAGTTAATAAGTCAGTTTGAAAAGCTTACCCAAACACCCCCTTAATTTTCGCCCTTTCTTTCAACTTTTTCCATTTTAAATAAAGTTTCACAAGATTTATTACAGAAAAAAAATATATTACCAAGATAAAAACTTTAATTTTTTATTAACCTGGATATCTAATTCGTTATGCGAGCCTATTAATTCTAGGACGAGCACTTGTTTTGTAGATAGTCCGAAGTCACTAACATTTATGTGGCCACAAGATGATTTTTATTCCTCATTGAATTTGAACCTGAGACATTCTGCTACTTTTGATCTTTAGAGTCAAGCTCAAACCAATCAGACACCACCCTTGTGGTTAAAACTTTAAATTTTAATTATCCCCATTTTGAAAAACCTATTTTAAATGTTCTAATCCACCTTACCCGTTCCTAAAACCCCACACGGGTGCCTGGAGTCGTTTCTTCGATTCCCGAGTGGCTTTCATCGTCGTTAAACACATGCACCTACGATACTTTATAGCCGAAATTGTAATTTCCTTAAAACCCATACGGGATTCATTTAGGATATTTAACTTATACAATGAAGCGATCTTTAACGTTTCTAATAACCCTTGTAAGATTCGAATTTACGATTTAATCATAAATTTATAACAAAAAAAAAAAGCGAACCTTAGGGCTAGGAGGGAGGGGGGGTTGCCATCAAAATGTATGACCACCATAAGAAATGGAAGCATCATCATCATCATCCACCAAACTCTCCCTTCTCAAAGCTCAAAAACGAATGAAAGGTGAATCCTTTTACTTTCCCATGTGGGTACCTTTTTTCCCAAAACGATCCTCCATTTCTTAGATGCTTTTAATGTCATGGACCACTTGCAGTTACTACTTGGCCTGCTGCCTTTGAACTTGCAAAAACACCATCCAACTTAATTCACATTTTTCGTATTCAATTCAACAAGAACCATTAAAATCGATAAAATGGTACTGGGATTTCGATATTATTTAGATTCAAGGAATCATAACAAACCCAATTGAAGCAGTTAATGATTGATATCCTCCATTGTTGCACAGTTTAACCAAATCTCAAAGCTTCAACTCATCTTGGTTGTCCTACATATACATACATATATATATATATACACACCGTTTCTGTTTGTAAAAAACAACAAAAAGAGAAGGTGAGGAAAAGCCAAACACAAAGCCACCTGTTTCTCTCACAGAAACCCACCACAATCTTGTGATCAAATTGCTTAAAAACCCTTTCTTTTTTTCCTTTTATAATCGTATTCACCAATTCAATCTTCCGATTTGGGTTTTCACAAATGGGTTTCTTTTTATGGGTTTTGTCTAAGTCTATATAAAGAGAAAAAGAGAATCACAACCTCCATAGATGATGCAAATCTGAAGAAAAACCCCTTTCTTTCATTGATCTTTCCATAAAAAGAGAGGGTTTGGGTGATCAGGATAAACAACACAGTGGTTGCTTTATTTATCAGCAATTTGGTTTTCTTCGTAAATATTTTATTCCCTTTTTTTTTTCTTCGGGGGTTTTTGAGAGGTAGAGGGGGGGTTTTGATTCAATTTTGTTGATAAAATTGTTTAGGTTTGTGCTTTGATTCCATGGCTGCTGGTCCTGAAATTTCTGTTGAATCACCAGCAACAACAGCAACAGCTTCTCCTGCTGTTGTTCATCCATCTTCACCACCAAAAACTGAGGTTTCTATCGTCAAAAGTGTCGATAGTGAGAGTGTTCATTTCGTTAATTCCGATGATGATGATGGTTCTGTTGTCACACCAAAAAAAGGGTCTGATCCTGATCCACGATCAGAAATGAAAATGCAAGAATTTGTTGATATGTTGTCCAATTTGAAGCTGAATCCCATGGCTAAGGAATTCTTTCCTTCTTCTTACTCACCCGTTGATCGCAATCGTGATCAATTTGCTTTCAATTACTTTCTTCAACCTGCTTATTACAAGAATTATCCTGAAAATGGGATTGAAGGCTACCCCAATAATCGAAGGGTATATATACGATTTCCTCTGAATTTTATCTCCTTCCAGTTAAATTTATGGATTTCCTTTCTTTTTGGTTTGATCATTTGAAACATAAATATCAAGGATTTAGTTTTTGGTTTATGAAATTTCTATTACCATATTTGATTGTTGTTCATCAAAATTTGTCTGTTTGATTGATGGGTTCCCCTTAATCTCCTTAATTTGTGTTATAATCCTACCAAAATTTAGGTTTCTGATATGAGTTTCTGCCTCTTTTGCAATCGGATACATTAATAAATTTCTATAAAATTCTTGTTCTTTGCGGGTTCTGTAACAAATGTATGCTGTTCTTAACTACATCAGTGTTTAGTTTATTTCTTGATGTTATCATGCTGATAAAAAAGGGAAAAAGATCTTTGAAAAATCAAAGTGAAAGCTTGTGGTTAAATGTTTCGTTTTAGATTACGTTTGATCGCCTACAACGTGTTCGCTAATTTGCTTGAATCGTTGTTCTTGGCTTGTAATTGGATTTTTGTTTGAATTAAAAGCAGAGGAGAAATAACTACAGCAATCCCCGACGACTGTCTAATGGGAGGGCCTTTAGAGCTCAACGAGAAGATAGCATTAAGAGAACTGTGTATGTCTCCGATATCGATCACAATGTGAGTAGAATGCACGTTACTGTTTACTTATTGTAGAAAATGTTCGATTTGTTCCATAGACTGTGTGTTAATTAGTCGAATGGTTTGCGCAATAGGTCACTGAAGAGCAACTTGCCGCTTTGTTTAGCGGCTATGGGCATGTAAGTTCTTGTACTTCCGTTTTTTATGTTAGTCAGAATCTTTATCCTAGCTGCGTTTGGTACATAGGACAAAACAAAAACCTGTTGTCACATATCTGACACGATATTAGAATGGGACAAGACACAAAATAGGTTGAACAAAATCCAGGGAGACAGGACAAAATGGGTAAATTACTGAACTACCCATGTCGAATTAAAGCTCTAAAAGGCTAAGACCTTCCACAATTTTTTCATCTGCCTACCTCACTCGTTTATCTAGTCCTGTCCAGTCTTGTCTGCATACCAAACGCATAACGGATTCTGTTCTTATTTATACGTGAATGAGATTTTGACCATGGTTGCTATGAAGGTTCTCGACTGTCGAGTTTGCGGTGATCCACATTCACGTCTCCGTTTTGCCTTCGTTGAGTTTGGTGACGAGAGTAAGACATCTTGGCTTTAAATTCTTGTAGCTCCATATGCATCTATGCTATTAAAAAGCTTACATGTTTTCGTAAACGTGCCCCAGATTCATCAAGAGCGGCACTTAATCTTTGCGGTACAATGCTCGGCTTCTCCCAAATTACTGTTTTGCCCTCGAAAACCGCCATCCTTCCTGTGAATCCAACTTTCCTCCCCAGGGTATGTTGACTATCTTTCGCTCAAAGTTATATATAGGTTTATTACTTTAATTCCTATGAATACATCGCTAACAAAGTCTGCTCGACAATCCAAAAGTGCATGTCTTAAAGCATAATTCAACAGACGGTTTTATAAATTTTGTACAGGGATTTGTAATGTCTTTAATATCGTTTCGTTATTTATCTTTGTTCATGATGTTTTGGGATTCAGTCCGAGGACGAGAGAGAGATGTGTGCAAGGACGGTCTACTGTACAAATATCGACAAGAAGGTTAGAAACCATTTTTCGTGTTTACTTCTAGTTTTAAACGAGATCCACGTGAAGTTTTGGTCTGGAAGTAAGATGTACGCAGACATTTCCTCTATCTGAAAAGCACTATGATAGAAAAACCACATATAGATTAACATAAATGTAACAAAATGGTCGTTTTGATGCATTGTGTTTTTACGTGGTTACGTCTGGTTTTCGTCTTATAGTTCGAGCTAGTCTTCCTTTGATGTATAGAACAAATCAAACAAAAAAAATACTCGGTATATCCCACTCAAAAGTAGGTCTGGGAGGGGTACGATGTATACAGACCTTTTCTCTACCCTAAGGGGTAATAGTAAAAGTTGTTTTCGTGAAGACCCTCGTCTTGCAAAAAAGACGCCCTTTGATGTATGTGCTACTGAAATTCTCGAGGGAATTAGTGACATCAATGGATGTAGGCAAATTGTTTAACCACGAGTCTTTAATTTTTCGTTTCCTCCGATGATGTTCGTAATGCTATATATTTTAAGATTCGTTTTGCAAGTATCCTAAGAACTGTTTTACTGCAGGTTTCTCAATCTGAGGTCAAGAATTTCTTCGAAACAAGATGTGGCGAGGTTAGAACGGATCTCAAAGTTCGAATTTTTCTTGCGAGCTGTTTTGTTTAGTCGACGTTCTAAATTTGGTTGAACTTTTTGCATCAAGGTTTCTCGGTTGAGGCTTTTGGGGGATAATGTTCATTCGACACGCATTGCTTTTGTCGAGTTTGTGATGGTAAGTTGGAATTTTAATGTTTATGATGCGTTTTAACACCTACCGATTAACTAATTATCTTCTTCTTGTCGATGATTCGTGCAGGCAGAGAGCGCAATTATGGCGCTCGATTGCTGCGGCCAGCCATTGGGAATGCAACCAATCAGGTAAGCTTCACGAACCACTCGTTTTTAGTTAGGGCGTGTCGTGTTTATTAAATGACGGGGGGTCTTCAGGGAAACAATGGCTCTATTTTTTGGAGTAGAGGTTAAGTCTGCTCTCGAGCATGATATAGTGGGATCTTTTAGTTTGGTGTTTATTTATAGAGAGAAATTTTGTAGGGTGAGTCCTTCGAAGACTCCGGTGAGGCCTCGTGTTGCTCGGCCCGTTCCGACCAACTAAATTCCGATCACTTGAATCAGAAGAGCGTAATATATGCATCCGTGAGGGAGGCCTTGTTCTCGTCGATTTGGTGATGTTTTTTTTTTCCGTGTTGCGCCATGATTACAGTAGTAACGAAGTCGTGTAGCCTGAAGTTGAGAACTTGATTTGTTTACTTGCATGTGTATCGTGTTTCTGCTACGATCATGAGCTGAATGCTCGTGGTTGTTCGATGTTGACTTCTGGTTTTGACTTGGATGGTTATATCTTTCGGTTTCTGGTCGAAGCCTTCATGTCGCACCTACTATATAATGTTGCTATATTTCACCAAACAGTCATTGGCCCAGTGCTACCTTGGTTACCGGTAGGAGTGGGAATAAGACCCGCTTCATTGGGGAACTTGGTGTACCCACCCGACCGGTGGGGCCGGCGATTCCCTACAAAATAGTCGACCGGGGATGGGACGGGGCTGGGTAACATTATTCTTGGCCCGTCTCGTATCGGTATATTAAATTTTTTGTATATTTATTATTATATGTTATTTATAAAGAATTATATATAAAAAGAATATTTTGACCATTTTCATATACATCTTTTTAAACATCTATTAATTTTTTTAGATAAAAAACATGAAGGGCCGAAAGTGTTTAATCAAACAATTACGTATGATGTTGTGATTTTGTTCATATATGAATTTTTGATACCCCATAAGATACGGGGACGAAGATTGGGTTCCCTACCTCATTCCCATGCCTGCAGGGCCGGATCCAGTCTTTAAGCATCAGGAGGAAGGCCCCCAGTCAAAAACCAAAAAGCTTTGTTGATTAGCTTAAATTTTCTATTTTCATCATTTTCTTGAATTATTTTCCCCCAGTCTCATATCGTCATATGCTTCCCTCCCTCAAGTCTCATCCAACATGTTCCCACCCCATTAATTTTCTGGATCCGTCACTGCATGTCTTGTTACCCCTTATATATCAAGGTTTAAGTCTAATCAAATGTGATAAATGTATATAAAATATTTATTGTATATAAATATTATGTAAAAAAAACTTTTAAAATATGCCACGTAATCTGGTTTAATTGCATAGCCTTGGCATTTAATACAGCCCATGGGCCATGGAACAATGGGTTATTCGGGTTTAGTAGACTTTAAACCTGTCTGTTAAATGATAGGCCCAGTGGCCCACCTCAATATAATGTCCACTCGAGGGTGCTCAAAATACCAACTAACCAGACCTAGACGGCTAATGCAACCCGGAAAATTATAATAAAAAAAAAAAAACTCAATTTGATGTAACACGATACATAGTTGATACAAAATTAAACCAACTTGTATGTATTGGGTTAGAATTATTTGAACTTAACTCAACCTGATGAACCCGGTGGCTTTCTATACTATGGGTTTTATATTAACTTAGCTATATTCAAATATATTATAACTTCAACTGTAATTTTACTTTTTTTATTTGCATGAGCCTTCAACTACTTTTTTTAAGTTTGTTAGCATTTTTTGTATGTTATCACTTTGATTTTACTTCGTTTGAACAAACACTTAGCTAGATTGTAAAATGATATACCAAAGCGTCGACCCGATCAACCCGACCAAACCAACCTGTACGGTTTCAGTTGGGTTGGGTTGTATTTTTGCTTGGCTTGCATAATCAATAATAAAATCTAGTTAAATGAAATAGATCAGTTCTGTAAAGTTATATCAGATCGGATAGAACCGAATTTAAAATCCAATGAATGATTGGACTCTGTCGGTTCACTTTTGTATTCAAACTGATGAACACCCGTAGTTCATATCAATGAAAACAAGACGAGTTTCTATACAATGCCTAATTTCATATATGCTATATTTGTCTTTGTCTGTATCTGTATCTATGAATAATTTTATAAAATCTCGGTCCTCAGAGGGGACAAATGTTAAGAGCGACATTTGGCCTGTATTTGTTCCATTTCCAATGGTAACAGAGCCGGAAAAAAACATATGAAAAGGAGTGAACTTTTTTTTGACAGGAATTTACTTATTTATTTTTGTATATTAAAATAAACAAACGTATTTATTATTTAAAAATATTAAAATTAAAGATACAGGGTAAAAAAACAACAAATATAAAACGTTAGGAAGACGGCAGGTAAGAAGCCGGTGATCAATATTTCACCAAAAATCAGGTCGTTGTTTACAAAGACAACGTTTGTAAAAAACAATTAATCATTACAGTCCAACAACTAACGAATTTATTTATTATTACATCTTTCCTTTTAAAATTAAAACCGAATAAACTATTGACCACTAAAAAAATTAATCAGCAAAATATTCAATGATTGAAATATATATTTCTTTATGGTGTGTTGTACAGATGATTTAAGTCAAAAATCAGTAACTTGATTTACTGACATTCAAATCAACTCGAAGGTATGATTAATAGCTCGTCTGTGGTAACTGATAATCTATTTTTAATTCAAATTCATCGCTGATATGAGACAGGTCCACTGTTTAAATTAATGACATGTTCATCATATATTCATAAAGACTGAAATGACCCTAAATCAATGCTCTTTCGTGATGCATAAGTACAACCTACTGTATAGAAAGGGGCCACTCTTCTTATATCAACCAATAACGTCTTAATATCTAAAACAGTAAATTACTTAATAACTTTTAAGTCTGTTTAAAACTCTGATTATTAATATAAATTTAAATAACTAGTGCCTGAGATTATTAATAACCCAGTTCCACATTTGCATAAATTCATATATTCCATATAACATGAAATATAAATATTCACATTGGTCCCAAATGTACACATAGGACTACATACAAAAATAGCTACACACTTTTTGCTCACATAATTACATGACTTGAATAACATAGATTCACAATTCATGTACATAATCAGCTTCCAAAAAATTCACAGATGTAAAACAATAATAATCCACTTCACATCTTCTCTTTTCTCTTTACCTTCTTCTAGTGCCCGACATGTAATGCACATTTTTGAAAACAAAATGAGGGTTAGACCATAAGGCCTAGTGAGCAATCTCTTTAATTACTATTACAGGCAGTGGCAGATCCAAAATTTTTGTCTAGTTGGGTCACCTTTAAGGTACACTGAATGCCCGCATAGTCGTCCGATGTGTTTTTAACCTACTTACAACGTTTGGAGGGAGTTTTTAGTGTTTTTGTTGATTTTGAATAATTTTTTTGGTTTTTTTGATTGATTTCAATAGATTTTTTTTTATTAGAGTAACGGTTTCGATTGGAGTTGGGGACTTGTGAAAAAATGTAACATGGGAAGTGAAAGGTAATTCATGTAAAACCTAAATTTTGACCTAGGAATTTTTTTTGACTGGCTATTGTGTCTGCCCCTGATTACAGGGTGAAAATCACCAAAACACTTTTAGAAAACCTACATTTGTATTGATATCATATAAACAATGGTTTATTGTAACAAACTTCTTTTGTCGCATCATAAAGATAAAACAACACCATCTTATCGCATCAAACCCGTTGAGGTATCAAACTTGTCGCATCAACACATAACACACCAACTTATCGCATCACATTGATGCGATAACACATTTTGTCGCATCATAAACATGCGATAACCCCACTTGTCGCATCTCAAATATGCGATAATCATTTTCCTCACATCACATTGATGCGATAAACACCCTTCCTCACATATAACATATGCGATAAACATATTTCTCGCATCATAAGGATGCGATAAAATCAACTTATCGCATCACAAAAGTGCAATAAACCACCCTCATCACATCATATTGATGCGATAACAATTCTCATATGATCACAATTTCATTTTATCAAACAGATGATTATGCCACCATTATCAACGTATACACCTCTCTTGATTATGTCACACTTATTTCAAATATACACCTCTCCTGATTATGCCACCCTTATCCCAAAATACACATCTCCTGATTATATCACTTTTATCCTAAAATACACATCTCCTGATTATGACACCCTTATTCCAATCAGTTGATAGTAACGTATCAAAATCCAAATTTATGCTACACACATAGCAAATAACCATTTCATAAAACATCTCATCCGAAACCATACAGTTTCATAATAAAACATATCAAATAATGCTTGTAAAATAAAATAGAGGACAAGGTTTGTTATAATAAAACATAACAATTCTTCCTTATCTATTTGGGGTTGACGTCGAGAAAGACTGAAGACGGGATCTTTTTCCACAAGATAATAAAAAGAAATATGTATTTATATGTTTTTCTAAAGAGGGCGGTGGAACTAAAAATTGAAAATCCAGAATTTTCAAAACACACCCCTTAATATTTTATTACTTTCCAAAATCAATCCCTAATCTTTTCATCAAATAACCCGGTTATCACATTTTATATGTTGGAATTTTATAAATTTGAAGTTACAAATAAATGTTAAAATGGATGATGGGTGTGGTATGTGGACTTGGTATCATGTGAAACCAAAGGTTTTTTTGTGAGATCCGTAAGACCAATTCTCAACCCTTGAATTAGATCTACAATCTGAACATTCATAAACGTCACGAGACTTTTCAATAATCACAAAATTGTCACCGTGTAACTTTAGACCGTTAGATCATTAGCTTATAAAGTTGATAAATGAACATAAATTGATTTTACGTGTCTCATGAAAAACCATTGGTCTCACGTGAACATAAGCCGTGGTATGTGTTTTTCTATTGATTGATTGATTTATTTGGGATTAGGTATTTATTTGTTATGTCTTTTGGTGGTTAAGAAGTCCCAACAAACCCTTCTTTCATTTTTATTTTTTATTTATGAAAAATTTATTACTATTCTTTTGCTGTTACATTATTTTCAGCAATAAAAAAATGAAAAAAGAAACATGAAACTATTATTTCAGCAATGAAACAGGAAACATGAAACCATTATTTCATTTTGTTTTTCTGAGCTCTTCTAATTGACAAACCTTATAATAAAAAAAATTATTATGAATAGACTCATTTAATCATGATATTTAATCAATGAAATCAACGACTGAAGGTGGTATGTACAATTTGTATAAATGGGGGAGGTTTACAAATGATCCCAAGTCTATATATATATATATATATATATAGTATCTTATAAAACATTTGGTTAAAACTCTTAAAAACTCTTACAACTCTTAAACTCATTCATCCCTAAATGATTTCATTTCATATCTGAATTCGTGTAACTAACTGCAGATAAACACAATCAAATACATGATAAACATCTCATTTTAAATATAAAAAATCTAAAATATAATTAGTATAA